CTACCGTGGCACATGCTGACCAGGCAACAGTGTTAACCTTTACCTCCATTCTAGATCCAGTACACTGGTCAATGTACATAGCTGATCAGTGGAATGGATATTCTTCTAGTGAATACGTTTCTTACATACCCAATCTGTTTTTATGCCGTAGTGATAAATCGGATTTATTCAGTTCGCCTGTTTTGCTATTGCATAGTCTGTCTATTGGCAATATTTGGTAACTCTTTTATAGATACCAGTTAGTAGTCGTCCTTTTGCCTGTCCGGAACTTCTAAGATAAAATTGCACGATAACTTGCATGCTTCCTTCCCTCCCACTCCCTCATCAGCTAGGTTACAACCTAGACTGTTTTGTGTTTCTGTCTTCCTTTCCAGAGATCTGCTGCTGTAAGAAAAAGGGCGTCTTCCGTTAGATTGGCTCGATATCCAGTGGTGACTTTATTTGGACTTTATTTGAAAAACCAAAGGCAAGATACAATCAAATCTTCCAATGACTGGGCTGCTTTCCATCATGCACACTCTGAGTGACCCCCACTTCTGTCCATTCCCATCCAACGATCTGCAGGCTGCCTCCTGTTATTTTACTCACTGAATGTCGTATTTCTAATTATCTCATCATTCATCCAGTATAACGATTCTTGTTTTTCGTCCTACTTCCACCGACTTGTTCTTTTGGAGCATTCCGCCATCTCGAGCCTTTTTTCTCTGATACTTTGTCCACTTTGTGTTCCATTGGTAATTATGTTCAATGCGACCTTCAAAGGTTTCCCTTTCGGCTTCTCATATAAGGATGATTATGTTGTACATTTCATCATGCCTATGCATGCTTCACGGGTCTCCATAAAATATACACTTATTATTATTATTATTAATATTATGAGCCCTGGTCATTTTGTGGATGCGTATTCGTGTAACTTTCTTGGGTGCCATCTATGGACCCACCTGGACAAGAAGCCCAACGACCGCGATTNGTCGTTCACTCATTGCGCTGGTGGTTGACTGGCTTGTCAAAGTTGACCATACAAACTGCGCCATGCATCTTCGAGTTCGTCAAGCTCATTCCAATTGTCAGCCTGAAATTCGAGAAGCAAACGCATTTTGTCAACGGCCGATCTCGCTCCCAATAAACAAATCGCAGGAGGAGGTAGCTTCTTACCATCTTTCAGCAAGTTTGTATTGCTATCTTCGGCAGCTGAGTCAGCTTCTGTCTGTGGATGTTTTGAGATTTGATCTCCATCGGCATTGTGATCATCACAGCCGATCTCAGTTGCCACATCGGAACCCTCCTGCTCCATGGGGAGGAAAAAAGCTACTGTTTGATCTGTTATTGACGCTTCTTTCTTGTGGGTCAAGCAGTACGACGCGACGGACACCGGTGGAAGCGGCGAGTGTTTGAATTTTTCATGCCCGTTAAACTGATCAAGCGACTAGCAATTCGCGGAAAAACTGGAATCTCAGCCTCAGTGGAGTCTAGAAGATGACGCACTGCTCGACAGGCTTCAACAGTTTCACTTTTCGACATGTGCTACTCTTTTTTGAAGCAAATTTACGGTACGCACACCGGTCAAACCACGTGTATCTTGAATAGTGACACCGCGATAGCCGATCGCCAAACCAATGAGATCTTGTTTTATACGGAAACGGACAGAGTAGTCAATCATCATTCCGTCGGCTCAATCGTTTGAATTTTGCTCTTCATTGTTGGTGCTAATTTGCCTACAGTGCCTGCAGACCAAAAGACTCTCCAAATAACTGAATCCTCATTGTTTAATGTGACCAGGCTGCACCCACCCTGGAGTGTTCAATTGATTTCAGTTCAGTTCCAGGACGTCGACGGCGGTGTGCCAGTTAGTCGCATTTTATGCAGTGATGGCCTCCAGCGTTCCCCCATGCTGTGACAGATGGAGGAGGTAGGTGACACTTCTTCACTGTTGCGGTCAAGTACTTCAGGAGAGTTGGGTGTTGACCCGTTCACTTTCGCGCCGTATTCCGGTCACGCCTTATGAATCAAACCTGCAGACTGGACACCGGCATCGACCAAGTTACATCCCCGGCCTAGTAGGTTGGGGAGTTCTAGTGGCAGGGTTAGTGATCCAATAGTAGTTGGGGATGTGACGGTTTTCGAAAGCTTTTGTATACAATACTGTTCCAATTCCATAATCCTCCTTTTCTTATCTCTTCTTTCTCTTTTATGAAATCAATATTTAACAGTTGTTTTAACCGGCCTCCTCATTACCCGTTTGGTATCTTTGCGGTCTTTCTCCGTTACTTTCTCAATTGTTTGTCGTTCAGTAACTGGGACCTACGACGGTTTCGTAAGTCGCAAATGTGTATTGATGTATGCTTATAATAGAAAAGAGTTTTCAATTATTGTTCAACTGTTTTCCTACGTGCTGGAAATTTGGTCAGTCAAAGTCGAGACATTACGATTTATATTGAACGTTGCTCTGATTACCGTTACGGTGGGAGGGGGGTCGGCGAAGATATGAGACGCAACAGAATGAATAAAAGATACTAGTGATGGATAAAGAGGACAATGATGAGTGAGAGTAAATCGGAGATTAAGTAGAAGAGCAGTTTGCGGAGAATCAGGGAGCGGAGCTGCTGGACAATCACGTTGCTCAGGCGGCTTTTAAGGTGAAAAGGCTATGCCATGCACAGTCCAGGCGGGTCTCGATGCCCTTCACCGTATTGAAATTTACTACTCCATTGGGCAGTCTGTTTCAGTTGTTCACCACTCTCATGGCCAAAGATTGCCGTCTTATACAGGTGGATACCCAGACCTTAGCCAACTTGAAGTAATTTCCTCTTAGGGTTGGGCTCTCAGTGTGAGGTATCAATGGTCTTCCATCTTCCCCAAAGTCGTCTCAACCTTTTAAAAGTTTGAATACCTCAATCGTGTCCCCATCTTTCTTCTCCCTTCCAAGGAGAAAAGCTCTTGCCTTTCTAGCCTTTCCCCATATCTAAGGTTTCTTATTCCTTATCTAGTGCAGTACCACCGCCTCTCCTTGAAAAGTTTTATATCTCCATCCCGATCTGGGCTCCAAGCCTAGACACAGTACTCCGGATTGAGCCTCACAAAGACATCGTACAGTGGTAGTACAACCTCCGGCCTTTTGGAGCTCATTTCACTCTTCGGCTTATATAGAGCTCTCACTTACCTTTTTGTACTTTGCACCTAGTTTGAAGTTTACCTGGAACCTAATACCAAGATACTTGTTCTCGATCGCTACGTTTGATTTGCACCAGCAAGTCCCTCCAGACGCAGGGCCGGATCTGTGATTCATGCAGAACTCAAACTTTTAAGAATATTTAGTGGGTTCCAAATTGTTAATTGGCTGATCACAGAAGGTCAAGGCCATGCAGCAGGGCAAGAAACCTGCGTGTCCGATGAAAGAATAACGGCGGGAACGAACACCTAGAACTCCTTTTCGATGGCAAAGTAGGCTCATATGTCAATTGTATGCCGATGCAAAGCACCTGCAGGGAGCAAAGTAGTGAGCTCAGAACTGTGGCTCTGCTTTGCGAATGCATTCACAATTGGACGACAGGCTTCTGTGATTGGAACTACTGGCCGACCGTGCCACGGCAAACAAACTTCGTTCAATTTTACTAGAGTTGATCGATAGGAAAAAATGAAAGGCCCCATGCGTATCAGGTAAGACTGTGCTTCAGTGGCAGTGACATCATCATCCACAGCGTCCGCCAGAGGAGCCGCCACTTCAACTTGAGTGAAGCCTCCTTGATCGTTTAGAACCCGACCAGGCTTCCAAAACTCGGTAAAAGGAGGTAGATTGCAATTCTCCTCATCGGATTTCTTAGTCGCTTCTTCTGAGTTTCCAGGAGTTGTTGGTTCCCGCGATGTATTTTCTTGACTGAACCAGATTTCAGAGACATCAGGAGGGAGAACGTCGCCTCTTAAGAGGAATTGTTTGATGAGGAGTCATTCTGGTCTGTATTATTGGACTCCTTGTGGTACATGAAAAGCCGAAGGGGCAAGTCGAAAATCAGCCAAAGATACCCTTACAAGAGTTTGTTTTGGGTTATGCTGTATTAGGCCAACCGAGTGGATGGAATTCTCTTACGTTCGTTGCCAATCTGATCAACCGGGATAGTTATCGCGGTAACACCACGAACACGAGGCGCAACACTCGGAGAACACGTGCGTATTAACGAATAGAGTCTTTATTGTGTTGTAAATTATTCTCCGTATTAAACCAAGCTGTACAGTAATGTCATATAAAACTAGATAGATAAGTAAGACACTAAACGCTAGCCTTAGAAAAGTGCACAGGGACCCTCAAAAACGAAATGCTGGTGCATTATTTGTCGTCAACCGTGGACCAGTCTTTCATTATTTTCATTTCTGATTGAACAGCCTTAGGGTCGTGATCCATATAGTCGCATCGTCAGAATAGATTCCGACGTTGGCTACAATCCTGTGTCAGGGCATCAATATAAATAAAAAAGAAGATGCCAGGAATGCAGCCTTGTAGAACTCCGGTAGAACTGGATGAAGCAGATGAAAGTGATGAAATTCCGTGGACTGAGAAGATGCGATTCGTGGGTAAAGTGGGGCCAGAAGCCTGTCAGTAAGGCCGTATGATTCGATCTTATGAAGTAAGGGAGCGTGAGGGAAGCGATCAAAAACATCAGCAATGCCAATGAAGATTTCTTGGAAGATGACATTATCTTCATGGGCTTGAGTTACGCTGTCCGTGACCGACAGCATATAGGAGCACATGCCAGGAAGAAGGCCATATTGGGTTTGGGAAAGAAGTTGATCGTCTGGTAATTATTTCAGTATTGCTCTTTTTACAACCAGTTCGAAGACCTTGCTGAGCATGCTAATCAGGCTGATACATCTGTATCTCCTAGGGTTGTGGCAGCCTACGTTTTGAACCCGGGGTGATATGATGAATCTATTTCAGTGCTTAGAAATATTTAATCATTTAGATACTATTATTATGATTGTGGTATAGAAGAAAGCAAGAACTGAGGCGGTGTTTCGATAGTAACCAACTAAGAGAAGGTAAACAACCTGTGTCACTCCAATAGGCTATCTATAGAAGGGATTCCGGAGCCCCAATTAGGCTCGTTGGAGACTGCACGCATCTGACAGTACAAAAATTGTAAATAGAACCACGGAACGTAGAGCAACACCAACAGGAACTGGTGGCATCTGAAGTAACGTCGACTATGACATACGGTGACGCACTTCAGAGCGGGACCCCGAGCTCGCAAAACAATCACGTTACCGCTAGCTAAACCAGAAAACTTGCGGTGTTGTAGACGTTTGTTGAAGCACCGTGGCACAGAGAACGTACCGATACTCGAGAACGAGAGTTCGCGGTAAACCACAAAGGCAGGAGAGCCAACGAGCGCAATAAAGAGCAAAACGGATTGAAAGCGAAAAGTAAAAGTTCTCCCGCTGAAAGATGCAGCAGTTTTCGATAGTATAAAACATGGCGTTAGCAGTGAAGTGCAAGTGTCAACATACATTTCGATTGTAGAGGAAAAATGATGCCCGGCAAAAGTCTATGGTCCGATTTTTATTGTACAATCAAGCACAACACACATCTGAGGCCATCGTTAAAAACCAGCTGCATCCAGCGATGTTGAAACCTCTGGCGGGCGTC